AAAAAAAAAAAAAAGAAAAAGAAAAGAAAAGAAACGGGAGAGCGTGAAACTCTTGTTTGTGAAAACTGAGAAATTGGTTGCCCTTCCCATCTTCTCATTTGTCAGCAGTCAGGATGGAGCCAAGAGAATATCCACTCTTACTCAGAAGGAAAAGAAAAAATTGGGAAAGGAGAAATACAGAGGAAAAGAATATGAATAACAGAAGAAAAGGAAGAAAAACAGAAAGATAATACAAGAGGGTAGTAAGGCTGCATTAGTCAGAACTAAAGATAATATAGCACCAAAAATTGTCAGTGCTCCAGTGAGTGATTCTGGACCCCAGAAAGGAGCAATGCAAAACAGGAGAAAACTGGCCAACGGAAAGCCCAATTGAAACTGAAAGATAAATTACACAACCTGTACCAATAGAAGAAACTCCAGGTAAAGGAAATGTAGAGATGCAAACACATGGCACAGAAAAGTCATCTCCAAAAAAGAGGTCTGGTCCCAGCACATCTCATGGAAAGAAAGATTTTGCCAGCTTCAGAGACCCCAAAAACTGCAGAGCCTGAGACTCCAAGTAAAGGCCTGGGGAAGAAGTCAAAAATTGAATAGATAGAAAAAGAAAGAATCCCTTCCCTGGGGAAAAAAGACCCAAGACAGACTCCAAAAAAGCCAGGGGCCAAGTTCTTTCCTACTCCTAGTAAATCTGCAAATAAAGCTCCCCAAATCCCCAAACAGTGCCCCTCCAAACCCCAAGTGCCCCAGTAGACCTAACGTGAGTAAATAAGAGGAAATATAGCGCTCCTTAAGCGTACTTGGTCCAGACCCCACTATAGTCTTACCAGACCTGGAAGTTGATATGCTTATAAACCTCCACAGGTAACTCTGGTATATGTTCCTGGGTATAAAAGGTTTAAAGTAAATTCTATTTTTAAATTGGTCTTTGGGCTTGCTTATATAGTAGAAGGAAAGTAAAGTGAAAAAAAAAAAAAAAAACCAAAGCAAAACAACAACAAAAAAACCTTTGTAACAGAATTAACTTATGATGAAGCAATTCTGCTCTGGGTATATATCCAGACTTTAAAAGCAGGGCATCAAAAAGGTATCTGTACATGCATGCTCACACAGTAACATTGCACACAATAATAAGATAAAAACAACCCAAATGTCCGATATTAGATGAATGTATATGGAAAAAATGGTATATACTTACAATGGAATTTTATTTCTTCAGCCTTAAAAAGGACAGAAATTCTATTGCATGCTACAACAGGAACCTTAAGACATGCTAAGTAAACTAAACTATGACAAAAGACAAAACACTTTATATTTTACTACAACTTAAAAAAATCAATATAATTAACAATAGTTTACAGTGTTATCATCAGAGCAGACTTCTGTCTGAAGTCATTCCACATTTGCTTTACTCATGATTTATTTGGTATGAACTTTCTGGTGCTGAAGTTGGTGAGAATTTTGCCTAAAGACTCCCACATTCACTGCATTCATAAGGCCTTTCTCCAGTGTGAATTCTCCGATGTTTAACAAGACTAGAGTTGTATCTAAAAACTTTCCCACATTCATTGCATTCATAAAGCCTTTCTCTGGTGTGAACTCTCTGATGACTAATGAGAGTGTAGCTGTCCATAAACAATTTTCCACATTCAGGGCATTCAAAGGGTCTCTCTCCAGTGTGAACTTTTTGGTGCCTAATGAGATGAGAATTTTGGCTGAAGAATCTCCCACATTCCCTGTACTCATAAGGCTTTTCTCTAATGCGATTTCTCTGGTGTCTAATATGATTGGAATTGTGCCTAAACAATTTCCCACATTCACTGCACTCATAAGGCCTTTCTCCAGTGTGAACTCTTTGATGTATATCAAGTGTGGAGCGATACCAGAAGAATTTCTCACATCCACTGCATGAAAAAGGCCGTTCTCCAGTGTGAACTCTCTGATGACTAATGAGTGTGGAACTGTCCATAAAGAACTTAGCATATTCACTGCACTCAAAAGGCCTTTCTCCAGCATGAACCCTCTGATGTCTACTCAATGTGAAGCAATACCTAAAGAATTTCCCACATTCACTGCACTCATAAGGCTTTTCTCCAGTGTGAACACTCCGATGAATAACCAGTGTGGACCTGTCCATGAAGAACTTCCCACATTCACTACACTCAAAAGGTCTTTCTCCAGTGTGATCTCTCTGATGTCTGATGAATGTGGAGCAGTATCTAAAGAATTTCCCACATTCACTGCACTCATAAGGCCTTTCTACAGTGTGAACTCTCTGATGAATACTAAGTGTAGAGTTGTCCATAAAGAATTTCCCACATTCACTGCAACAATAAGGCCGTTCTCCAGCATGAACTTTCTGATGCCTAAGGAGGGTGGAACTGTACATAAAGAATTTCTCACATTCATTGCATTCATAAGGCCTTTCTCCAGTGTGGATTTTTTGGTGACCATTGAGATGGGACTGTGTAAGGAAAGTTTTTCCACATTGACTCCACTTATGAGGCCTTGGCCTGGTATGAACTTCCTGATGTTGAATAAGGCCAGGATTTTGTTTAAAGAATCTTTCAGTATGGATTTTCTGGTGCTGAACAAGGTGGGACTTTCTTATGAAGGCTTTCCCACATTCAGTGCATTCAAAAGGTCTTTCTCCTGTGTAAATTTTCTGGTGCTCAACTACATTATATTTGAGGCTAAAAGCTTTTCCACATTCGCTACACTTGTATGGCCTTTCTCCAGTATGATTTTGTCAATCTTTAATAACGTTGGAATTGTATCTAAACAATTTCCCACATTCATTGCACTCATAAGGCCTTTCCACAATGTGGATTTTCTGGTGTTCAAAAAGCTTATTTGGATTGCTAAAGTCTTGCCCATGTTCACTGCATTTATAACTATTTTGTGTGCTTTGAAAAACCTCCCTATCCCTGGTGTCCTTGTGTGACTTCCACCCTCTGTGAGGAGGCTGGTGCTGAAGATCTAAATTGGCAATAAAATCATCACCACCCTTACTGCAGGTGAAAATCATCTCTCCCCTGTGAACTCTGCCATTCTTCATCAATGAAGGTCTCCCCTCATCACTTTTTTTTACTGGTTTTTTTTTTTTTTTGAGAGGTTTTTGCTATAGGGTGTGTGCGCTCGCCAGACAGACAGAGAGAGACAGAGAGACAGAAAGCAGGAAATCACCCCTCAGGGGGGATGGCCACGCCGCAATCCCTTCTCCTCCACTCTCCTCTCGGGATCTTGGGCACGCACGCACACGCGCCCAGCGTGAGTTTAAGCCACCGGGTCCGGGACTTGAACCACGGTCGACTACATGGGAGCCCAGCGACATAGCCATTATGCTAACTGCTGGTCCCTCCCCTCATCACTTTTGAAAAGACTCTCTCATCTGTTGCTTTTTGTGCTGGTAAAACTCTGGCTCACAAATGTACATCTCTTGCTTAGTATGTGTTCCATCATGTTCGGTCAGGTGTAGGATGTCTTTCAAGAATGGACCAAATGTCTCACAGGGCTGAGTCTTCTGGATGGGTGAACATGGCTTTGGAATTGTGACCTATGACACTCCCACAGTAACTCCTTGCTCAGAAGGTGCCTCCTTATCTGCAGCTCCATGCCAACAATCTATAAGAGTGGATAAATGCTGGTGAAGTTATTTGGTGGGAGGGGCAGCCCCATCACAAATGTGTATCAGACATACCCACAAGTAAGTGAGTGAGATTCCAACAGGTAATGGACACTAGAGGAATTGAAAAGGCCTTTTGTATGGAACTGAGCCTGGAACATCCCAGGATTGAGTACTCTGACAATACAAGGATACAAGGGAGGGATACTGTAGAGAGAGGAGGGGACTTCTCTGAAAGGGCCATGGCTCTGATGACTGATAAGCCCTGTGTAAAAGGTAGTGACTTCTATAGAGTCACTGAGTGATCTAATTATGGTGTTCAAGAACTAGTTAAGAAACTTGAGACCAGCAGTTAGTGTAATGGCTATGTCGCTGGACTTCCACGTAGTCGACCGTGGTTCGAGTCCCAGACCCGGTGGCTTAAACTCACGCCAGGCGCGTGTGCATGTGTGCCCAAAATCCAGAGAGGAGAATAGAGGAAAAGGGATTGCGGCATGGCTATCCTCCCTGGGTGGTGATTTCTTGCTTTCTGTCTCTCTGTCTCTCTCTGTCTGTCTGGAGAGCGCATGCACCCTATAGCAAGAAAAAAACCTCTCCAAAAAAAAAAAAAGAAAGAAATTTATAGGATGGCTCCATAGCCTAGTGGTTAAGGGAGCTGGATCCCACATAGTCAAATGCAGTTCAAATCCTGGCTCCAGTGGCTTGAAAACCCACTAGGTGCATGTCAGTGGCTAAAATCCCAACAGGATGGAGAAATGGAAAAGGGACTACAGTGTAACCACACCACACTGGGGGATGCTTTCTCCCTCTCCTTCGCTTTTTATTGCCCTCCAACAATAGAAAAGAAAGAAATAAATAAAACCTCACAATACCTCAAGTATAAATCATGCAGTAAAGCACTGCAAAGTGGGGACCAGCAGATGTCATAATGGTTAAATTGCCGGACGTTCACGTGGTCAACCATAGTTAGTGTCTCAGACCTGGTGGCTTAAATTCATGCTGGTTGTATGTATATGTGTGTGTGTGCATGCCCAAAATCCTAAGAGGAGAAGGGATTGTGGCATGGCCATCTCCCTTGGGGGGTAATTTCTTGCTTTCTGTCTCTCTGCTTCTGTGTCTTTGGTGTGTACACACACCCTAAAGCAAAAATCTCTCTTAAAAAAAAAAAAAAAAAAAGCACTGCAAAGGATACACTAGAAGGGAACAGGTGAGAAGTGAGGCAGAGAGGGATGCTGGGGGCCAGAAGTCAAAGAAAAGAAAAGACAGTAGAAAAGAGGTGTGGCTACTAGTTAGGACAACAAACCCACTAAGTCTCCACTGTGATTTAAGCCCATATCTGATAGTACACCCTGTCCAAACTCCTACACACCAGGACCAAATCTTTTAGAGTATCTGTTGATACTGAAAAGTAATATCCATACTATGAGGCACACAGGACCCTCCCCTTTGCTCAAGGTGAGCAACTACATGGGCTTTTCATAGGACAGGTCTAGGTAAATTACAGAGAAACAGGAGTGGTTAGCACATACCCAGAATGATACAACCCAGGACATCCTGCATTCTAAAATCATAAGATCTTCTAGAACAGTCTGGCAGAAATAACCTCAAGTCCTCACAAATAGTGACCAAGTAGGGTGCCTGAAATTTCTGGCACAGGCAGTACCCAATAATATAAAAGGAGGGCTGGCAGGTGGCATGGTGGTTAAAGGGGCTGGACTCTCACATGGCCAACCACTGTTCAAGTCCTGGACCTGGTGGCTTGCTTTCTTACTTTCTCTCCCTCTCTTTCACTCTCACTCTGTTCCTCCCTGGTCAAATTAATATGAAATAAATGAGTATGTAAATAAATTTAAATAAAATAATTCTTAAAAGGAGGGAGATAGGCTTGGAACACAGAGACCCATGCATCTGAACAGAGCAAAATGACCAGGAACAAGCAAGGCTGATAGGATGTCTCAGCCAAACGAAGATTTCTGCATCCTTGGGACCGGCAGGTGGCATGGTGGTTAAAATCAATGGATTCCCACATGGTCCAATGTGGTTCGAGTATTGGGCCTGGTGGCTTGCTTTCTCACTTTTCCTTTCTTTCCTCCTCTGGTTAAATTAAAATAATAGTAATAACAACAACAACAAATGAAATTAATTAATTCTTAAAAAAAAAAATTTCTGGGGATCAGCAGTTAGCATAATGGCTATGTCGCTGGACTCCCACACAGTCTACTGTGGTTCGCGTCCCAGACCCGGTGGCTTAAAACTCACGCCGGGTGCGTGTGTGTGCGTGCCCAAGATCCCAAGAGGAGAATGTAGGAGAAGGGACTGCGGCATGGCCATCCCCCCTGGGGGGTGATTTCTTGCTTTCTGTCTCTGTCTGTCTGGCGAGTGCACGTGCCCTATGGTAAAAACCTCTTAAAAAAAAAAATTCTGGATCCTAAGCCCTTTCTGGCAAATCCTCAGAGCAGCAGGGGATGGACTAACTGAGGAGAAGCTCAGCCCTGCCTCCCATAACACATATGCCAGTAAACCAAGAGAGAAGTACAGCACCCCTGGTTTCATTGTAGGAATGAAAGGGCTGCCTGTGAGAAAAGGAAAAACACCACTTAGCCCAGGACACTAGGTAGGTGTGAGGGCCTTACCTAGTGTGGACAAAAGAGCAAAGTTTTCCAGCATCACATTGCAGTACAGGAATCTCTGAGCCTCATCAAGAAGTCCCCAATCCTCTTGGGAGAAATATATGATCATATTCTCAAAGACCACACGATCCTGACAAAATTATGACAGTTTAGTCCATGAGGATCTTCTTGTTCTGTTTCCTTAGATCTACATTTACCTTTTTGGCATTTATTAATTACAGTACTGGGGGGGACCAACAGTTGGTGTAATGGCTATGTTGCTGGACTCTCATGTAGTCGACTGCGGTTCGAGTCCCAGACCCAGTGGCTTAAATTCACGCTGGGCGCATGTGTATGCATGGGTGCCCAAGATCCTGAGAGGAGAATGGAGGAGAAGGGATTGCATCGTGGCCATCCCCTGGGGGAGTGATTTCTCGCTTTCTGTCTCTCTGTCTCTCTCTGTCTTTCTGGCGAGCGCATGTGCCCTATAGCAAAAACCTCTCCAAAAAGAAAAAAAAATTACAGTACCAGGTTAACAGCCAAATTTGTTTACTTTTCCCTTCATAGCCTATACTCTGAACCACCTCCTTACTGAATTTACACATTATTTTCCATGCCCTGAATCAACCCAAGGCCTGATACTACACAACTAGACAGTCTCTACTGACCCAAGGCTCACTGGGTTCATTCCAACTAACCAAGCTGAAACTATTCACCATGACTTGTCTTTCTTTTCATACCAAGATCCCAATAAACACCCTGGCATATGTTTTTCACTCAATCTTGCATTTACCTCTCTACCAAATCTGCTATTTCCCCTGTGACCTTGTTTGGTACACCATGTCCCTTTCACTTAGGAAATAAATGTAAGATGGATCTTTAAATGTTATGGGTCTCTCTATGATATCACTTAGGTCAGGTCAGGTTCATGAACTACAATTCCATTCAAGTCCTCCTCACCACACACCACATAGCCTCTACCCCAATTTCTCAATATGGAAGCGATACGAAGTCCTGGGGGCACTGGTGTTCGTTCCTTTGCCCCCAACTTCCACTGGTTACTGAGTCCTACACAGAACAAAAATGGGTGGCAGAGGGGCAGAGAAACATCACCAAAGCCTATGTGGAGCACCATTGCTCTTTTATCAACCAGTCTCCTTGAGTACTTGGATCTTGTCCTCCTGGACAATCAAACTCAGAATCATGCTTTTCCACTAAGTGCCAGTGCCTGGGTCTAACCACTCTCCTCACCAGTACGACATCTCTCTTACAACTCTAGCCACTCTGTCCTAACCCTACTGACCACTTCCCTCTCCCCCCTATTCATAGTATGGGCCTTTTCATGGCCCCTCAACACTCTGCACATGAAATCCAGGCAGTACATGGAAAATGCCCTTGTACTACCCAGAATGCCAAAGCTCCCTAATGCCTAGGGTAGTACCTAGCCCTGTTTTGAAGGTCTCAGTACCCAGCCCTGTTTTGTGCTTTGTCCTCAGCAACCCAAACCCACTT